ACTTCTTAGTAAGCTAGAAAAATGTGGGATAGACAGCATCACCACCAGATGGATTTGTAACTGGCTGACAAACCATACGCAAGAAGTCGTCCTCAATGGTACTACATCTATATGGAGGTAAGTAAGTACCACAAGATTCCCTCTTTGGCCCAGTACTCTTCAATATTCTTATAAATGACTTAGATGAGGGAATAGAATGGGAACTCCTCAAATTTCAGATGACGCTAAACTGACAGAAATAGCCAACACTTTAGAAAACAAGCTCAGGATCCAAAAAGATATTGACAGACTTGAACAAATGGGCTCTAGCTAACAACATGAAATTTAATGTGGAGAAAAGCAAGGTTTTATACTTAGGCAAGAAAAATCAAAGGTACAAATACAGATTAGGCGAGACCTGGCTCAAAAAGAGTAACTATGAAAGGGACCTTGGCGTCCTAGTGGATGATCACTTAAATATGGGCCAGTAGTGTGCGGCAGCAGCCAAAAAATCTAATACAATCCTTGGTTGTATAGATAGAGGCATAGAATCAAAATCATATGAAGTATTATTACCATTTTATAAAGCTTTAGGAAGGCCACACCTGGAATACTGCATCCAGTTTTGCTCACACATTACAAAAAAGATGTTGAGACTTTGGACAAAGTGCAAAGAAGAGCAACTAAGATGAGACTAAAACATATGAAGAACAGTTGCAGGATTTGGGTTTGGCTAGTCTAGAGAAAAGAAGGACTAGGGTGGACATGAGAGCAACATTCCAGTATTTGAGAGGTTGCCACAAAGAGGTTGCCTGAGGGGGTCAACTTATTTTCCAAAGCACTGAGGGGGTCAACTTATTTTCCAAAGCACCAGAAACAATAGATGGAAACTAATCAAGGAGAGAAGCAACCTGGAATTAAGGAGAAACTTCCTAACAATGAGGACAATGTAGAGCAATTAAAATGATCAAAGACCTGGAGATGAAAACATAGAAGAACAGCTGCAGGACTTGGATTTGGCTAATCTAAAGAAAAGAAGAAATAGGGATGATATGATAGCAGTATTCCAGTATTTGAGGGGCTGCCACAAAGAAGAGGGGGTCAAACTATTCTCTAAAGCACAAGAGGACAAGACAAGAAACAATGGTTGGAAACTGATCAAAGAGAGAAGCAATCTGGAATTAAGGAGAAACTTCCTAACAGTGAGGACAATTAACTAGTGGAACAACTTGCCTCCAGAAATCGTGGGCGCTCCATCACTGGAGATTTTTAGAAGAGACTGGACATTCACTTTTCTGAAATGGTATAGTTTCTTCTGTTTGAACAAGAGATGGACTAGAACAGGGCTTTTCAACCGGTTGTTACGTGGTGTCGCCTCCCTCCCCCCCCCGCGGCATCGCCTTCCTCCCCCCCACTGCGCTCCTTCCCAGCTCACTTCTTTGTGGAAAACATGCTGCTTGGTGGCAGCCTCCATGAACCCTACCGAATGTGCCCTGCAGGGGGTATATGAAGAGCGCAGAGCAAGGCCCCGCCCCCCCAGGGACTCATTGTGCAGCAACCGGATTGACTTCTTCTCGTGCGCGCAGGTCAGCGGGATCCGTATCGCCCTTCCCCTCTGTCTTTTTACTTCACAACAAGCGCTAGCCTAACAGGAGACAGAGCTGTCCACTCCCTTGGCAGGAAGGGGTTTGAGACCGCAGGAAGGGGTTTGAGACCGCTGGTGTCACAATCCTGAGTGCTAACATCACAATTGCCCCTCCTTCTTTTCTCTCCTCTCTCTCTCTCTGTTGCAACCTCACTCTCTTCCATCTTCTTTTCCTCCCCCCCACGAGCTTGCGATACCCCTCAGGGCCCTCACATTGCCTCCCAGAGGACTCAGCTGTTTGGCGGCCAGAAGTCAGAGCCGGTTAGCTGTTGGTTGGGACACCCACGGAGGCAACACCCATGCTGCCAGGTAGAATGGAGTCTCCTTTGCCGTCCCACATGTCGTCCTCAACCCCTCTCCCTGCCCGTTCATGTCGAGCCCGCAGGGGCTTGACAGGGAGAGAGGGAGTGAAGGAGGAAGGGACTCCTCCTCCTCTCCTAAGGTTCAAAGCATGATCAGCTTCCCAAGGGCGCCACAATCCTCACGAAAGCGGGGGGGAAAGCAAAGGGGGTGAGAAAGCTTGTGGCAGGCTCGAAGGAGCACCTGTCAGCATTGGAGACAAGAAACTCCCCCACAAACCCAGGGGAAGGGGTAAAGAAAAGGAGCCCCCTTTGGGAGGAAACTGCCACCTTCTTCTCCTCGGCTTTGTGCTCTCCTGTTTCTCGGCAGCCGGGCTGCCAAGCCTCTGCTGGCTGGAACTCTGCGTTTGTTTTGTTTTATACGTCTCGCCTTCACGTGTTTCTGCCATACTTCCTCGGCGCTCCTGGGAACGGGGCAGGTGGAAGAAAGCTTGGCTAGGCTAGGCAAAGAAAAGCCACGGAGCTGCAAGCTAAGATCGCAGGCAGGCCAGGGAAGGGGGTGAAGAAGAGAAAGGGGATTGGGAGAGAGGAAATGCCAAGCTTGTCCTCACCTCTCCCAAGGACCTCCTGCGCCACCTCACAGGAACACCTGGTTTCAGATGTATGCCGCAAAAGTTTTTCTCGTGCAGAGGAAAGAGGAAAAACAATTGTGGAACACTCGGGAATCCCTTGCAAGGCACCATGTACCTTGGCGCTTATTTCTTAACTCCTTCCCCCTGTGTTTTCTGCTCCACCCTGAATTTGCCTCCCTTCCACTCTCCTTACATCTATGGTCTTAATACAGCCCTAAGTCTGTCTCGCTTTCAACACCCCCTAAAATTCTTCATTCAGAAGAATGAAAGGGCACGAATCAGCATGTGCTCAGAAACGCCAATTCCATGCCCCTGCCCTCTTGCTCATGAAAGCAAGTGAGCTGGGCAAGAGACCAGGATCGGGGCGCGCAGCTACAGCTGATCTGTGCTTCTGCAGAGCAGCCCAGAAGCGCAGATCAGCTGTAGCTGCTCTCCTGGGCTCCTACCCAGCTCACTTGCTCGTGCTTTGCTGGAAAACATGCCGCTTGCTAATTTAGCAGAAGCGCGAATCAGCTGTAGCCCAGCACTGATCCTGGCGCTTCTGCTAAATTAGCAAGCGACATGTTTTCCAGCAAAGCATGAGCAAGTGAGCTGGACAGAGCTCTCCTCTGCCTCTGCCTCTACCTCTGCGCATGCACAGGCAGGTTTGGCATGTCACCATGGCCACCGGCAGCACAGCCACCAGCCATGCTGGCAGCCTGTCCCCCTCCCCTTGTCCCTTTCTGGCCACGGAGGGGGGGAGGAAGGAAGGGACAAAGAGGGAGGTAGGTAAGGGACAATAAGATAGGTAAGGAAGGAAGGAACAATGGAAGGGAGGGAGGGAAGGAAGGGACAAAGAGGGAAGGAAGGAAGGAAGGAAGGAAGGAAGGAAGGAAGGAAGGAAGGAAGGGACAATGGAGGGGAGGGAGGGAAGGAAGGGACAAAGGGAAGGAAGGAAGGAAGGACGGAAGGAAGGAAGGAAGGAAGGGACAATGAGGGAGGGACAACGGAAGGAAGGGAGGGAAGGAAGGAAGGGACAAGGGGAAGGAAGGAAGGGACAATGAGGGAGGGAGGGACAATGGAAGGGAGGGAGGGAAGGAGGAAGAGACAAAGAGGGTGGGAAAGAAGAAAGGAAAGAAAGAAGGAAGGAAGGGACAATGGAAGGGAGGGAGGGAGGGAGGGAAAGAAGGAAGGAAGGAAGGGAGGGAGGGACAATGGGAGGGAGAGAGGGAGGGAAGAAAGGCTCCCATGCCTGTCCCACCCCTCCACCAGAGACCCATGGATCCCCCCATATCCCCACCCGCACTCCCCACAGGCACCCTGCAACCTGAGTGATGAGTTGGCAATGCCCCCTTGGCCATTGACTTCATTTGTCAAAAAGTTGCAAAAGGTGATCAGATGACCCTGGGGATGCTGCAACAGTCATAAGTGTGAAAAATGGTTATAAGTCACTTTTTTCAGTACCGTTGTAACTTCAAACAGTCACTAAGCGAATTGTTGTAAGTCGAGGACTACCTGTACTTTATCATTTTTTTCCTTTTTTGAGTCATCAAGTTTTTGACACTTTGCTGGGCGACTGGTGGTACTCGGATATTTCCTTATCCTAAAAGTGGTACAATGGGTGAAAAGGTTGAAAAGCCCTGGACTAGAAGACCTCCAAAGTCCTTTCCACCTCTATTCTGATTGATAGATGTTTTTTTTTATTTAGATATCACATGGGATTTTGTGCTTGTGATGAAAAAAAATGAAACTTTGACTTTGGTTTTGCCGATTAGATAGATTGGTTATTATAGAAATGGCTAGTTATATACTAATGTGTAAATAGTTGAGGCTGTAATGTTATCTTGTATTGGGTTCAAAAGAGTCAGAAATCAACACTTTTTTCTCTCTTCCCTTGTACCTCATATTTTTTCCCTTTTGTTTTTCCTTCCCTTAATTTTCTATTTCTATTTTTCTCTGTATTTTATACATTGATAAAACAATAAAAATCAAACCTCAGGAAAAAAAAGAAAGGAAATGTTAGAATCTTTTTTCCAAATTGCTGAAATAGGATGCTCAATCTGAACAAATATCTTCAAAAAGACAAATCATATTTCCACAATCCACATAATTAAAAGGAAATGCATAAATAAAATATAAGCAACAGGTAAAATAATACATTGCATTGTTAATAGGGATGCATTGTCCAACCTAACAAAATCTTATTTTCATGTTTCATTGTATCACATTGAAGTAAATAGCCTTAATTATTACTGCTAATATGTTTTCTAAAGTAAAAGGGAAGCAACTTCATTTAGAGCACTTGCAGCACAAAGCATTAGTAGAATGTTAAATTCTTTGTAGTTACTTCAAAAAACAAAATTATTTGTCTTTGGAATTATTTGTGTTATTTGTTTAAACCTATTGCTGATAACATGTATTGATTCAACCAAAGATGACTGTGCAATGAAGAACATTAACACAAACCTTTTGAGGAGTAAAAGTGTTTGCTGGGAGCTGTAAAACCTCTTGTTCCATGTACATTTATGGCTGCCACTCTAAACTGGTACCACCTGCTGGGTCTGATGTCAGTCAGTTGTAATCGCTCATCTGTGGTCTGCAAAATAAAATCTACTTAATATACACATTTACTATTTTTGTGACCTCCATTAATGGACTTTTTATGCTTTGCTTATTGAAAGAGGAATTCCTTTCCCATTTTTCATAAAATAAAAACTGGACTAGGTAAGATTTTTCAAACCATCTACTTCAGCCAGGATCCAACAGAAAGAACTTTTGTCTGACTGAATTAAAAAAAGTTACTCTTTCAAAGTTTTTTTCCTAATGTAAATGCTGTTGGAATCCATCCCACAGCATTTTGTAGAAGCAGACAATATGCAAATAACACACACACACACACACACACACACACACACACAGTGTGTGTTACACCCTCTGTGTGTAATGCATACTGTCTGCTTCACACGCACATGATCTTGCATATCTTACTATTATAAGTCAGCATGAAAAACAAGCCCAAATCTCCCCTTCAAAGCTATCCTCTTAAACTGAAGGCCACAGAAAAAAGATTTATATTATCTATTCTTGCTGTAAAAAAAATTACATTATTAAACCCTGTTCCAAGCTTTACAGCACTCTCTGTGTGGTTTACAATGTCAGCATTATTTGCATATTGCTCCCAACAATCTGGGTCCTCATTTTACTGAGCTCAGAAGGATGGAAGGCTGAGTCATCTTTGAGCCCCACCAGGATCAAACTCCAGGCTGTGGGTAGAGTTAACCTGCAATACTGCATTCTAACCACTGCACTATCAGAGCTCTCATGATCTCCCTTTCTCTTCTACTCCTTCTGAAGCTGACTGTCAAGTGCTGGGGAAATCAGGAGATTCAGGCAGTTCAATTGAGTATAAAGATTTATTGCAAGCTTAACCTCTCTATAAGAATCTGAGCAAGGGAAATTAGTGGGAAATAAGAAAGCATTCAAGGTGGGCTGGACTTAGATCTCTGGTGGGCTTGCAGGGATTCATGACTTATGACATGTTTGACCCCTCTCTCAGGCTCAGCCTGGTCATCTCCTACATCAGTGGTTCTCAACCTGTGGGTCGGGACCCCATTTGGGGTCGAACGACCATTTCACGGGGGTCGCCAAACAATGCAGTCCGCCATTTTTTTCCCCTTTTCCTTAGCTGTGCTACTCCCTTTTATTCTATTGGCTTTTGAAAGCCAATAGAATAGACTCTCTTGAATAGAGTCTAATTCTATTGGCTTTCAAAAGCCAATAGGAATTGTCCAGGCTGTCTCTGCCCTGCTGAGCCCGCCAAAAGTCCCATTCTGCAAACAGTGCTGCACCAGTTGAGTAGTCCTCAACTTACAACCGGTTGAGTAGTCCTTGACTTACGACCGGTTGGGGGTCGCAGCATTAAAAAGGTTGAGAACCACTGTCCTACATAGACCGGAAGAAAGAAACCAGAATTTTTCTTTGATCTTACACAGTATTTCAGATATGCAGCACAAACTTCAAAGAGAGAACCCCATACTTCACTAAGGAAGGTCCTGGGTGTGTTTAATGTTTGATGGCAATTAATACCAGCCAAAAATATTTAATCTCTGATTAACAAAAATGATATTAAGGAAAATCTTAAAGGTAATAGAATTCTATTAAAAGGACTGACCTGTGCTACAATTTGCCAACTTGTTGCATCATCCTCACTGGGATGAATCCCATAATTCCATCTCCTTTGTACCACATACAGCACAGGTTCAATGGAGATATTGAATTTTGAAGACCATTTAATTTCCAGATGTCCAGACTGAAGTTCACTAAATTTTAATTCCTTTCTGGGTTTTAAAGGAACACCTAAAATATATAATATCCATAAAAAGAAATTGTGTTCACAACTATTTGATTTTGAGAAGCAAGTGTATATCACATATATAGAATACCTACCCTTACATTTTATGTATCACCTTTATTTGCCTTTAGTTGAAATATACCACAAGTATTTCAACTGGAGTTATAGTATATTAACTTACACATTAATTATCCCAATAGCAAATACACTTTTGCTTATGTTGCTTTATTGTTTTAAACAGTGATTTTTTTGTAAAAAAAAAAAAAAGGTGCTGGATTTCACACATGTCATACAGCCCGCCTTGCTTACCCTACAAGGTTCCATCCAAAAAAGGTGCCGGAACTCTGTTCTGGGCGTTCTAGGACAAAAAAAGCTCTGGTTTTAAAATATGTTGTGTGCTACTTTTAATACTGAAAATACTTACCAGCTGTTCTATGAATGTATTATGGGGATATTCTATCAATTCTAATAGACTTCTAATTTATAGAAGTGATTCCTATTTCCTGATTTCAGGTGCTGCATCTATATATAGCTACTTTTTTCAACTGATTCAATACCCAGAAGAGTTTACATGGGAAAACAAAGGGGCCAGCTTCAGTGAGACTCTAGGGTGAAATTAGAAGATCTGTCATATAAAGAATTAAAAAAATACCCTATAATTTTATAAGAAATGTAATGTGTGTGATGCTTTCTTATATGCAGAAATTAATTGTTCATATATGACTTAACTGATTCATTATGATAAATATGGGATCTCAGTGAAAACAGTAATACTATTTCAAGTTTATTTCTATTGCTTCCATTTTTTACTAGTTTTTTTCTAAAAAAAAAAAAAACTGGTAAAACTTTAAATGTGGCATATATGAACATTTAACCAGAAGTAATAGTTCTTCTAGGACATGATATTTTCTCTAAACTTAAACCTAAGAAAACTGTTTCTTTGAAAAACTACTGATGTGCTACAATTGCTAGTTATTTTTTGCTTTGTGCTTTGTTACAATTGTTTGTGCCACTTAAATCATTCCCAGAATAAATCAGAGGTTTATTTTTTGCCAGCCTCCACACTTTTTTTGTTAAATTAATTGTTTTTTCTATAAATGTAGGATTTTCTTTAACAAAGAAAGTAGAACTCTAAAACTGTCAAGAATAAAAAATATTGGAAGCAAATCAATGTATTTTTATATTAGTCTTCTTAAGAGCAATAATTCAGCTTCTCAATAAAATATTTTATTATTATATGCAATAATCCTATAGCCTGTTCTAAGAAACTTTCCATCTGCTTTGCATTATGGTCATTAGGATTCATTGGATTGGAACTAACTCCAACAACACCAACTAACCACTGGTGGCTGTAATTGTGTGCAGATGGGTGTCATGCAATACAGCAAGGTTTCTCAACTTTGCTAACTTTAGGAAGGGATGGACTTCAACTCCTTAAATTTCCCAGTCAGATCAGTCTCCTGAAACCCAAAGAATTTGACTTTCAATGACCAATGTATATTTTTTCATCTTATTCTAGGGAAATATCTGAAAAAAAAAAATACTTGGCATGCCAAGCTCAGCCTCCATATTGGATTTAATCCTTCAGAGATATGGGTATAAATTCATTAGTTTCAAGACATAAGAAATGCTGTTCATAATATTTTTCAAAATCCTGTTTCATGGTCTAAGACTCAAATGGTCTCCAAAGAGGCTGCTCCAGATGAACCAACAGAATGTCAGCATCAGGAGGCACCAAGCCAGGAATCACCTGAGGCTGATTGAACACAGGCATCATAAGAACAACAGGAGCAGTCAGATAATGGCATAGACCTCCAAGTTTTCAAATTCAGAGACTAGAATGGAAAGCAGGGCAAAGACACTCAATGAAGCTCTTTGCCAAGAAAGGGAGTAACTCTCTTGATTAAAGACAGTTGGCTACAGCAACCAGAGGGCAGGACAAGAAACAATAGTTGGAAACTGACCAAAGAGAAAAGCAACTTGGAATTAAGGAGAAACTTCCTAACAGTGAGGACAATTAACCATGGAACAGCTTGCCTTCAGAAATCATGGGCCCTCCATCACTGGAGATTTTTAAGAAGAGACTAGACAGTCACTTGTCTGAAATGGTATAGGTTCTGCTCCTTAAGCAGGGGCTCAACTAGAAGACCTCCAAGATCCCTTCCAGCTCTATTCAATTCTATATAAAGATTAAGAAATGTCTCCAAAATGATCTGTTCATTTTATTAATTTGCATGAGTCAAACCATGTAGAATCTCAGTACAAGTATTCTGTTTAATCATTTAACATAAAACTTTCCAACCACAAATCAATTAATAAAGGAGGGGAAGGATACTGTGTTGCGTATTTAGGTTCAATAAAGAGTTAGGTAAGAAGTCGGACATGACTTCACAACTAACAACAACAAAGATCCAATTAATATTCACTTTTGTTGCTGAAAAAGAATTTTTAAAATTGTAATCCTAAGTGTTAGAAAAAATATATAGGAGTAACATTTGATTGCACATATAAATAAGTCATGCTTGTTTAATAATCAAATAGCAACTTACAGAAACCTATTGAGAAAATATGAACAATTGTAATGTCATCATCTGTAGTAATTCTTCACTTCTATACCTTAAGCATATTTTAAAAAATGATTAAATGTTTAAGCTTCCCAGGATGAATTCTCTCTACCCACTTTTATACAACTTTATCACAATGCTAATTGTTAATACAAACTATTATACACACCTCACTTGAATTTTTAACCAGAATCAGACCTGATTTTTTTTCAATTAAAATCTAACTTTGGCCTGACTTGGCATCCATCTTATTACAACTCCTAGTCATGGCAACACAAAAACAGTGTGGGAATGTTAGTATATTTAAATTGTGGATGAATACACAGACATATACTCTTTCTCTAGTCACTTCTATTAATAAACTCTACCTTTATAAAGATTTTTGGGCACTTGACATGTATGTCCACATCCATTAGAACAGCATTTTTTCACCCCAGAGCATTCATTGTCAGCCTCACAACTTTCAACACAGGCAGCTGCGAAGCCACTGGCCTTCTCAGGTGCTGGGCAATCTCCTTGCTTCACTGACAGGATGTATTTCAGGAACTCACAGCTAGTTAGACATTCATGGTTCTTCCTGGGGAAAAGAGGCTAAAGGAAAAATAAGATAATGGTACAAAGTTTTTACTGCAAAAAAAAAAAAAAGTCACAGTGAAATATGTTGGTTTGCTTTCCAGGAAATTCTTTACTTTCCTTATTGACCACTTCCTCCTTCAGAGGATGGGAAAATGTATGACTTTAAAGCATCAATGCATTAAGTCCTTAACATGATAGAAACAAATACAGATATGGCTGAAGGACTAGAAACAGCAGAAACATTAGGTGAAATTGACTATGCAATACTGAAGTCCTTGATTTGGAGAGAAAATGTATCATTTGGACTTAAAATATGGATTTTTTTTTCAAAAAGAAAAGAGTCTCAATGCAATCATTGTTTAATAAAACCAGTAAAATGCTAACATATAAGAAAGAAATGGCAAAAGTACTTAATCCCTATTTTGGCTCATGTCAGCAAGTAGAGGGTACATGTTACGCCAAACAATTATGTAGAAAAGATGAAATGTAGAATCAATGCTTGAAATTGATACAGGGAACCCATTTAATTTGAATGTTTAAAAGTGCAGCCTGTATATTTACATTTTGGGGGTTCTAAAGGAACCATAGTGATGTTTTCATCTATACTTCCAAACAAAGGCCAATGAGGGAGCAAAGGATTTTAGAAACAAATCATTGGCTTAAACACTAGTGTCATCAACAGAACTTCGGCCATGATCTGCATTACCTACACCCCTACTGGCAAGGGATGGAGTGAACCTCACAAGAACTGGAAAGAATATATTCGGAAAACAACTGGCTCATCTTATCAGAAGGGCTTTAAACCAAATTTGAGGGGAGAGAGGGACCAATCTTTACATTGTTTGGTTTACATCCTAAGACCTTTAGATCTTAATTCCAAGCAAAAACCATTAGATAACCAATCATATAAGGAGGTAGGGAGTAAAAGGAAAAACACAATGAAGTAGAGAGAGATGGAAAGGATGGAAAACCCAGTTACAAAGTAGGAGATATAAGAAACATACCCAAGACCCATAAAGGACTCAGATGCCTATACATGAATGCTCAAAGTTTAGGGAACAAACAGGGTAAACTTTAGGTACTAGTACATGAAAGTAAATATGATATAGTTAACATTACTGAAACATGGTGGGATGAAACTTATCACTGAAATGTACTGATGGAACAATACAAACTATTCAAAACAAACAGACCTCACCAGAGGTGGTGAGGTTGCATTATATATAAAAGATCACTACATCTCTTCAGAAATCCACAAAACCAAGGATGAAAATCTCCTAGAATCCATATGGGTGAATATAAAAGGAAAAAGATCCATTTGATCTGAGGAAGCTCTCCAAACCGGCGGGGGAAAGACTGGCTACATTCGTTTGGCCAGTCAGAAGCTGCTGACAACTGAAGAAAATAAGCATTAACCAGGAACTTTTGAGCAACGTGGATGGAACTAGGTTAGACCTTATCTTCTCTTTATGACTTAAGACTTTTCTTGGGAAAAAAAAACACCCAAAGCAAAGAATCCTCCCCGATGAGAGAGTGAAAGGAATTCCCACCCCATTCCCTCAGGAAAAGAAAAAGGGGTGAATTAATTGCTTGGGGGAAAATAGAGAAAATTACAAGATTAATTTGGAAGCAACACACACATATATAACTTTGAAATTTGAGGACTAAAAGTGCTTTTGAGATTATTTTTTAAAAGAGATTTAAAAAGCTTGCAGTATAAGTTGGGATGTAAAAAGCTGGAAGACAGCATCAATGACATCTACTGGCAAACTACAGCACTACAATTTATTATGCCTAAAGGACACTTGGCTGGAAGCCCAGACTCAGATCTAAGACTCTTGTTATTTTCAGAAACTTTCATTTTTGAAGACTGCAGCTGTGAAAAGGGGGGAAAACCCTCTTGGGCTGCTTATCTATGTCGCAGAGACAATAAACTATTTTGAAACTGGCCTACCTGGACTATGAATATAAATATTAACTGACTTTTAGAGCTGTGTCATGGAGCTATTTCCTTATAGAAGAAACATGCATTATTGATTGAGATGATGGAATACTTTGGACTATAAACCTTTCATTGATGAACAATTTTTAATTGCCCTTCTCTCTCTGGACAGAAAGGATGTGTTTTTCATTGGACAGAAAAATTTGAAAAATTCAAACTTTACTTATATTTGTGGGGGGGACTGATAGGCCGGCTGGATAAATTAGGAGTTCAAATGTCAATTGACTGAAACTTTTAAATCCCTAAATAGATTGGACTATAAAGACTAGATACAAAAACAAAATGGATGTTCCATACTTAGCTTCAAATGGTAAAAAAACATCCCTAACATCTGTCCCTAAAGTCCTCAGCTTGACATACCAACAAGAAAATGTTAATGAATTTCAGAAAGAAATTCTTTCTATGTTAAAATCAATATAAGAGACAATTGCCTTAACTCATGATGAGACTAAAAACAACAAAAAGGAGATAAAAGAACAATTATTTAATCTAAATCTACAAACTCAGAAAATGACTACAAAGAAGGAACTAGCAACCCAGAAAATAGAAGGAAAATCAGAGGAAGCAGATCCAAAGTTGGAGGACATAAAGAAAGGAACTAACAGACAGACTCAGACAAATGAAGAATTAGAAGATGCAGCGATAATATCAGAAATAGAAAAGATATCTTACCTGTCAAGATCTCAGAACACACTTGAGGATAAAAAAGAAGAGCTGATAGTGGTGAATTATGCAGGGACACGATATAGACTAAATACAATTTCAAAGGCAAAAGAGTTTTATACTTATGTCCTGAAAGCAGGTTCACCACCATCTCCACGACCTAAGAGAACAGATGAAAGGCTGGAAGATAAACAGCCAGTTGAAGGCGTAATGTCATTGGTTGTAGGAGATTTACCGTAGGCTGAACCTACTGAACAGAGCTTGGAGGTAAAGGATGATTTAAATGAACACAGGATGACTTGTGCTGCGTATAGATGTAAAGAAAAGGAGCAGAAGCAGAAGGCTAATTCTGGATCAATAATACAAGGTCTGATTACTACAGAGCCTGTGGGAGGGACATGACCGAAGAGATCAACGGCTGATCTTCAAGCAGTGTCCCAGAGGCTCCAGGCCACTAAGGATGGCAAAGTTTCTGACATGGAATGTTAATGGTTTGAACTCACCACAGAAAAGAAAGAAAGTATTTCACTACTTGAAACAACATAAGAATGACATTGTTTGCTTGCAGGAGACTCATATTGCTGCGAAAGATCAAAAGCACTTGATTAATTCTCAGTTGGGATCACATTTTATAGCTTCTGCCCCAGATAAAAAGGGAGGAGCAGTTATTTATGTAAGAAGAGATTTATCGGCTAGATTAATTGAATCTGACACACAAGGAAGATATGTTATTATTGATTTAGTATTACAAGGCAAGAAATTTCTTATTATTGGATTATATGCTCCTAATCAACAACAAAAACAGTTCTATAAGTAGTTACATCATAAACTGATTCAATTGATTATAAATCTGTTATTATGATGGGTGATTGGAATGGTGTTTTGGATTCAAGTAAAGACAAGAAGGGATCTTTCAAAATCTCCAATCATTCTAAATTACCTAAGGCTTTTTTTGATCTGAAAGATGATTTGGAATTTAGAGACATTTGGCGAGAACAGAATATGGAGGACAGAGATTTTACTTTTTTTTCAGATAGGCATCAATCGTTTTCCAGAACTGATTTTTTTTTAATTACTACTGATTTTTTCTCCAGGGTCAAGAATGCTAAGAGTTTTCCTAGAACATTGTCGGATCATAGTCCTCTATGGTTGGAGTTATCTGCTGAAGATGGGAATAGAAGATCTTGGAGACTGAATGAAAATTTATTTAGATATGAGGGGCTTTCGCAGAAATGTAGAGAACATTTGAAGGAATTTTTTGTTTTGAATATGCATAAAGGTACTTCGATGGCAATGGTTTGGGATGCTAGTAAAGCTTATATGAGAGGGATTTTGATTCATATGAATAATGGACATACACGTAAGCAGACGCAAAAATGTAAAGAGTTGGAAGAAGAGATTAAATTGAAGGAGAAGGCCTTTATTTTGAATCCATTGGATAATAGATTAAAGATTTCTATAAATACGATTTAATATGTTAATGGCTGATCAGATTGAAGGTTATTGAAAGGGCAATATTGGAAGAAGGATTGTTTGCCTACTATAGAAGAATAGACGCTTGAAGTGTCAAATTTAGCAGAAATGGCTAAAATTTCTGCTTATTTGAAGGATCATTCACAAGAAAGATACATTTTGGTTTGGAGAAGATGGATAGATTATATTCAGAATAAATATGGGACTAAAAAGTTCCGTTTACTTTATGAGTAAATTTTAGAGTATTATTATTATTAATAGTTTATTATAGTGGGGCTTCCTGTGGTGACAGCAGTGCCAATGGTGGCTTTTTTCAGCCATCCGCCCTGGAATGTGTCAAAGCCAGCTGAGACAGCGAGCAACAGCCGTCTCGTGGCTTGAAATCTCTCTCCCCGGGCGACGGGGAGGAGGTGAGCTTCCCTCAGATAGTGGCAGAGCTCCCTGAGAGACCCCAAAGTTTTTTTCTTTGGAGGTCGGAGGGTGAGAGCTCCCATGGAGTCTGAGGTGTTCTCCACATTCCAGGATGCCTTTGCTCTAATTTTTTTTTAGAACAAAGCTAGACGCTGCTTTCACATCTGCTTTCAAAATGAACTTGTGAGTAAAATTTAAAGCAGACAGAGCTGACCAGGGAGATTATATTGGTGATTATTCTGAGACTTTAACTCTGGAAAAGATTTCATCTTCTCTTTCTTCTTATTTGAGAGGGGTGAAAAATGGTGCTGAGATGTTGATTTTAAGAGTGAAAGGACCGGAACTTCAATTTGAAACAATGTAACAGCTTTTACAAGATATAAGAATTTTCCTTTTTTTTAATATAGGGGGCTTTTGTCTTTTCCCCCTCCTTTTGTCTCCTCTCTCTCTCTCTCTCTCTCTCTCT